TTCTTCCAGCTCCCACCGCCGGAGGGCGGCTTCATTGCGGATGTTCCCCACAGCCTGAAGTCTGCCACCGGGGTCGACAAGAGTCCGGACCCTCTCGTCGAGGCCGGTCGCGACCTTTTCTGGCGCGGAGCGGTCCAAGGCGTCACCGAGCTGACGGAGACTCGACGGTGCTCCGACGAGTGGTGGAACGAAGTGGTGGAGCAGCTTCGACAAGGCCGCCTGTCGGAAGAGAACCACAAGTACTTGCACGGCATTCCCGTGGAAGGCTGCACCCTGTCGGAAGCGGAGAGGCAGTCGCGCCGCAGGGTCATCGTCTCCGATGCGGATCCGCGGCTGCAGGAGGCCAGGTTCCGGAAGGCGGTGGTCATCGTGGCCAACAACGATGCTCGCTACCAGATCAACAAAGACAAGGCCAGAGCCTACAGCAAGGAGTCCGGCGCTCCTCTCAGGTGGTCAGTTGCCAAGGACGTGGCGGAGGCCAAAGCTCTTCAAGCCGAGGACTGCAGCAAGGAGGCCAAAAGGAAGTGGCTGCAGTACCACGACCGACACACGGGAGATCTGTGCGGCCTGCTCCCCCTCGCCATCGGCATGCCGGTCGCCCTCACCGACCACGTGGACCGGTCCGACAAGTTCCTGCTTCGCGGGCGCTGCGGGCACGTGCATTCCTGGGTGTGGCCCGAAAACGAGCAGCAGCCGGAGGTGGTGTACGTCAAATTCCCGGATGTGACGTGGCAGCTCCCCGGCACGCCCGAGCCCGGCATCTATCCCCTGCGGCCCGTAACGGAAGCATGGTTTCTCGACCGGGGGCGCGAAAACCCTGTCCTGAAAGTGAAACGACGCTTAGCTGCTTTGGAAGATTAGATTGTGGACGGTAGACCATCTTACTATCGTAGAGGAAACTTGTTCTGAAGCCTTCGGAGGAAAGCAGCTTCAGCTGACCCCGGCCTTCGCGATTACGGCGCACAGCAGCCAGGGCAAGACGCTGGATGCCACACTGCTCGACCTGAACGTGGACAAGAACGTCCACCAGACCCTGGGCACCGTGGCGGCGAGCCGTGTCCGCAGCCGCGAGGACGTGCTCATTCTGCGTCCCTTCCCGCTCTGGCTGTTCCAGCGCGGAGCGCCCGAAGGCCCCGATCTGCTGCTGAAGACTCTCCGCAAAGAGCCCGTGGATTGGAAGGCCTGGCGCGAAAGCAAGAACCCCTTCGCCGCCTGCGGAAGTTGTGGCCACGTGAAAGACTTCGCGAACTTCTCCTACGCCGAGTGGGGCAAAGTGCGAGCCAACCGGGCGGCCAAGTGCCTCCACTGCGAGAAGGGCGGCAAAACCACCGGCAAGCGCAAAATCAGCAGGGACGCCGAGATCTTCACCAAGCACGCTTGCGACATCTGTGGTTGCAGCAAAATGGCGGCGGCATTCCCGGTGGCGCAGCTGCGCCAAGAAGGACCAAATGTCAAGAAGGTGTGCACGCAGTGTGCGCGCAATCAGCGCACTCTGACATGCGCTATGTGTGGGAAGACCAAGCCTTCGGACGCATTCGATGCGACAATGTGCACCCTGCCACCTGGCTGCGCAGCATGCGCCGACTGTCAGCAGGAGCTGCATCCAAAGGCGAAGCGCTTGCGAGGAGGCTGGCTCCTTTGCAGGGGCTGCAAGCAATCCTATCCTCTTGATGCAGCGGGCAATGCTAGCAGCAGTCACTGCCTGAATTGCGCCGTGCGTGGCACAAGGGCAGCCACTGAATAACACAAATGCCAGAACCCGCAGTGCCAGAAGCTGTACCAAGAGGATCATGCGCCTGGTCTTGCAAGGCCACAGGTCTGCCCGGAGTGCAGGGCCGCGAGACAAAAGCGAGTCCGCAATTGATTTCTTGTCTCCTATATCATAGCCTATATCCCTGTCAAAGGCGGTGCCGAAAGGGCTTTGGAGTAGCAAGGGGGACTGAGACCTGGAAAGCGTGCAGCTGACAAAAAGGGCTACGTGTTGTACTTCGCATTGGACGTTCTACCAAGATTGCAGGCGGTGAGACTGCTCACATGATGGAAACCTTGCAGCCCGAGCCGCCCGTGCTTTTGTTTGTCCGCAATCGTGAGCTCAAGGCCACGGACTGTATTGCCCTGGCCAGCCACGGCTGCATGCAGAGTAGCAACAAACGTCTGGAAGGGAGTTTGTTACACCTCTATACAGGCCGAGAAAGCTCGGAGCCCCTCCAGAACGGCATGCTGTAATTGTTCGCATAGCGGCGGATTGAAGCCCTAGTCATGACGGCATTGTTGTACTTAGTGGCGCGTCGGAGCAGTATCTCATGATGTATGCACCGATAGGCCCGGCTCCAAGATGGCGCGATCGAACCGTTTCGGATGGCAGTTTCCAGCCCTGTCGTGCCTCAACAGCACCAGTACTTGGACTGTGCTAAGTTCTGCAGAGCCTGGAAGGATGGAACTTCGATACTGCAGGGCAGGGCAGGGCAGGGCAGGGCAGGGCAGGGCAGGGCAGGGCAGGCAGGGCAGGGCAGGGCAGGGCAGGGCAGGGCAGGGCAGGGCAGGGCAGGG